TGATGAAATCAGTATGAGGTCAGTCTGAAATGAGTAACAGTGGAAATCTTTTTGAATTTTATTTACACACTACCCTTCAGCACCTTTTGTGTTGTATATGGAATAAATCTACCTGCAATCTCCTCTCCCCATTAGATCACAAACATCAGAAGCAGCCTTGGGGGAAGGGCAGGGTCTGTCACTTATTTTGCCCTGGTATAGGCTTCATAAATGAGAATGGCCCTAATTCAACACATGATCATTTATTGAGCCCTTTATAGGCTAGGCATGATGTTAAACATGAAAAATGTAATAGCGCCTGCCTTCCGGGCGTGACAGGAAAGGACACGCCCAAAGCGGCTTCAAGATAGATAGCTGTCCCCTGTTTGGCACCAGCAGGAAGGGTGTTCAACCTTGTAGTGGTGGGGGAGCTTTTGATAAAGGTGGCATCTAAGCTGAATCCCAAAGGTACCCAGGATCTGAAATTGTTCAGTATCATTGGAGAGTATAGAACTGAGAAGTGACAGGAGAATTGACCAGGGACAATACACATCTGAAATTGCAGGGTCTCAAAGAGCCTGGAACAAGACACAATGTACCAATGACACCCAAGCTGCGCATACTGACACAATTTGAGGTTAGAGGGAATTCTGGGTGAAATAGTCTGAAATGTCATATGCATGGTCTTTCCCTCAGACACTCATAAGACACATTAGCATTTTAAGGCCTACAATAAAGCAACGGCTTTAACAACGTAAATATAGCTCAAACTTATTTCACCTTGAAACTCTTCCTCCTTTTGTAACATCCATTAAAGCCTCAAGGAACACTTTGGTAAAGCTGGATATCCTGAAGCACACAGAAGGCATCTTGGGGTTGTGCCCACCATCCCTAAGGCACACTCCTGCTCTAGGGAACTGTAAGCATCTCTAGCTAGACAGAGGGCTAGTGGCATAGACCTCATTGTTGCGAGTCACACAGCCCCCCCCCGGATCTAAAATACTTGTCAAAATGCATGGTCATGGCAGGCTATGATTTACTTCTCCAAAAAAGCAACTGAAGTGAGCCCTCAATCCCAGATCAGCAGAGCTGTTAGGCCACATGAGCTCTGTAAGAACTCCTGTGCCTTGTCCCCTGGGGGTTGTTGATCTTACTGATTCTCAAGAGAGGGTATGAAGCTTTGGTTCACTTGCCCACTGGTTGACACAGGGCCATTCAGATGGGCTGCCTCAGGCACATAAGATAATAACCACTTTGGAAGCCAAGAGGATTCAGATGAGTCTATATAGACCCAGAGACAGATGTCCCCCCTGCAAGGGGATCAGCCAGGTTGTGAAAATGTTGTCTGGGTTAGTCCACCATGGGGCACCCAACTAAAGAGCAAGTACAGGGTAGCCACACATTCCCCCCCCACACACAAGGAACATCCACCACAAATTTATATCAAACCTTTGTAAACCTACCTGAGTATTCCTGCTGTACAGCTTCTCAGGATAAGTTTTGTGTTGCAGCCTCTACTTAGTCATAGCACATCTCTTCTCAAGGGCTGCCCCTGATTTTGGGTATAAGGAGTGTTAATAAAGGACCACGGGTGTTCTGAGCAAACCCTTTCTTTTATAATGTGGACTATCATGCCTGTGAGTTCATCTTTCCAGGCCAAAAACATCCTCCTACTGACAGTATTTATCTGTTATTCATTTATTCCACAAAGAGTTTTTTTTCCCCCAAATCCAACATCAGTTATATTTGTTTATTAAAAATTACAATCTGAAATTTGTAATACTGACAAAACACTTGATAAACCTGTAAACTGAAAACTACAAATAACTGGGAAGAAATACCTTGTTTGTAGGTTAAAAGAGTCAAGATGTCAGCTCACATCAGAACAGATCTGAGGACCCAGAAATACACCTGCTCATACATAATTTTTTAAAAAAAAAATGCAAAGGTAATAGAGCAGAGAAAGAATAGCCTTTTCAACAAATGGCACTGTTACAATTGGATCTCTATGCCCAGGGGAGAAAAACAAAAGTGAACTTGGAAGCATAAATTAAAATTGATTATAGATTTAAGTGTAAAACCGAAAAACTCTTGGGGAAAAAAAGGAAATAAATCATGACCTTAGATGGGAAAGAGTTCATAGACATAATACAAACAGATTAGATTTCACCACAATTAAAAAAGGTCTGCTCTTGCCAGGTGCAGGGGTGCACACTTGTAATCCAACCACTCAGGAAGATGTGGCTCGGTGCCTGACTGGATTGCACAAGGCCTTAGATTCAATCCTGAGCACTACGGGGTGGGGGAGAACAGAATGAGCACCCTCTCATTTCACATGACAAGAACAGTGACCCCAAATCTGTGTCTGGTGTCCATTCAGTGTTCCACCCTCAGCACAAATAGTTATTGAGGGTGCCCTAGACACCAGACACTCTGAAAAGCTGGGAATCGTGAACATAAGAGATAATCCTTGTTCTCTTAAAGCAGATAATAAGCAACTTCTAAGTGTGAAAAAGTTCTGTTCTAAACCCTACGAGCTTTCTGAGGGGGGTGAGAGATGTATTAAACAACTGGTATCTTGTTCAGGAACTGTTGCTTATAAGGAATAAAACCTGATTAAAGTAGCTCAAGTTAAAAGGGAGGAGAGAGTTCTGACAGAATTAAGGAGCAGGAACCAAAGTAATTATCTCCAAAAGTTCTCTCTCTTCTTGGAGACATTCATATTCAAATCCTCTTTTCTTACCTCCATCCTCCCTTACTGCTCCCCTCCTGCCCTAAAAAGGGATGTGAGTAGGAAGGAAATTAATGCATCTCTACCACAAATGGTTACAAGACAGAGTAAGGAGGACAGGAGGGTACAAGCAGAGAGTGCTGTTCCAGTTGGGAGGCAGAAAGATAACTTAAAGCTCAGGGAAGGCTTTCTGGAAGAGAAGGTGCTATTTGAGCTGGGCCCTGGTGTGGGGAGAATTTGACACCCCTGGAGAACAGAGATTAGCATATGCAGAGCCATGGAAGAATGGGTGGAAGGGGCAAGTGTCTGTACTTGCCACCACCCCCTCTGTCATTACCTGGGTCTCTTTGGAGCAGACAGGATTCTCGGAGTTCTAGGATTTGGATCTGTAGTCTAGATAATAGGGGAACAAGAGAAGAGAAAGCAGAAAGGGGTTGACTGGTAAGGGAGGAAATGGGAGAAATGCTGCCCCACCGAGGTTAGAAAGCCACATACTGGGACCCAGGTAAGTAGCTTGAAGATTTAACCAGGTGGCAAGAGGTAATACCTTAATACCCACCTCTGACTTCAGTGTAAAGTCATCCAGTGTCGGACGCTTAAACCAAGTAGTCAGACTACAGGCACAAGACTTCAGTCTGCCAATTATTTAAAATTTGCCAACTGATCACTAGCAGTAAGCAATGAATGTTTATTGGGTTCCTCTGTGCTGGGCACTATAAAATAATCATCTTGTTAGTCATACCTGAAAACCTACAGAGCAGTACCATCAGGGGTCAGAAAGCTCACGGAGGTGGTGAGTCTCATACTGTCTGCATCTAGGGACCTTAACAGGGTGGGCAAAGATTCACGTGAGCATCTGCAGTGGGTCAGTGCTTTTACCTTGGTCACCTCATGTCCACTTCATTCCCAAGTCTGAAAAGTACAGGTTTTCATGTTTTCTAGGGAGGAAGCCAAGATACATATCTGAGGTTATAGGACTAGGTGTTAAACCTGGGACTTAAACCAAAGTTTATGTCCCCGGCACACCAGGGTCATAGGGCTGTGTACAGGGCACAAGGTGTTCCAGATTGGGATGATGGAAAAGCTGTCCTCTCCCGTATGTGGGGCCTCGTTGCTACTTTTCCATCTGCAATCCCTCTGGTCCTCAACTGAGCAATTCACATTAAAATAAACACAACCTATTGGGTTGTGGCTCGGTGGCAGAGCACTTGCCTGCCGTGTGTGAGGCACTGGGTTTAACTCTCAGCACCATGTATCAATAAATAAAATAAAGGTTCACTGACAACTAAAAAAACATTAAAAAGACAACCTATTGCTTCCCTCACCTCCGGATATGGCATGGGTCAAAACATATACTAGAGTCTAAATGCCACATGCACTGAAAGTTAGAAATCATAGGCCTTCCCGATAACCAGATGATGGCCAGGGGAAAACCCTGTAATTTTCAGCTTATACATACTCAGAGCCAGAATCTCAAACCTACTGTCTATTCTCTTCATGCAGCATGGATCTATGGTTTCTTACAGGCAATTTACCTGTTACGTGATGTTTTCCAATTTCAGAGGGTAATAATAATGTATGTCTCAATCTTACACAAGTGAAGTAGCATTGAACTTCCCTTATGCACTGCACACAATGCCCAAGTATTGGGTACTATTGTTAGATCAAGTGTATATTCAAGGATCTTTGTTCTACTGTAAACTCCCCAAGGAAAGGAGGGCTTCTGGAGGAGATGAACTTTTACTTGTCACAAACAAGCATGGGTAGGATTCAGATCTACAGCTGTCAGTGGCAGCCCTAGCTGCAGTCATACCTAGAGACTCACTTGAACTTTCTGGCTCTAGAGTGTGGTTTAGATCGGCAATGCTCAAATTTTTGTGCATCAGAATCTCTAGGGAACTGCTGCTTTTAGATTCAAGAGCTTTCCCTTTGAAAATTCTAATGGAAGTCATAAGAGGAAAGTGATTTTTTTTTAAAAGCTTACCAGATAATTCTGAATTGCAGGTAAAAACAGGCTAAATGCGGACCAAGGTCAAAAGCTAGGACAATCTGCTGGGAGGATACTATTTGGGGGTCTCCAGATTCCCAGAAAATGGGGGGACATCAAGGATGGAATTTCTTCCTTCTGAAGATGTCAGTGGGTGCCAACTCCCTGTTATAGAGAAAAGGAAAGTGATATCAGCTAGGAGAACAGTCCCAGAGGCCTGTGATATAGACAGAGTCGTGACAGAATGGCCAACCTTGGCTGCTGGAGCCTGTTAACACAGCATGTCATTCTGTCTCTTTCCAGATCGTGTTCCGGAAGATTAGCGACGTGAAACGGGAAGAAGAAGAGCGCATGAAACGGAAGAATGAAGCCCCCCTGATTCTGCCCCCTGATCATCCTGTCCGGCGACTCTTCCAGAGGTTCCGACAGCAGAAAGAGGCCAGGCTGGCGGCGGAGAGAGGGGGCCGCGACCTGGATGACCTGGACGTGGAGAAGGGCAACACCCTCACGGAGCATGGCTCAGCCAACCACTGCCTGGTGAAGGCCAGCGTGGTCACGGTCCGAGAGAGCCCCGCCACACCCGTGTCCTTCCAGGCGGCCTCCACCTCCGTGGTGTCAGACCACGCCAAGCTGCATGCCCCGGGGTCCGAGTGCCTGGGCCCCAAGGGGGGTGGCGGCGACTGTGCCAAGCGTAAAGGCTGGGCCCGCTTCAAAGATGCTTGTGGGAAGGGCGAGGACTGGAACAAGGTGTCCAAGGCCGAGTCGATGGAGACGCTCCCCGAGAGGTCAAAGGCGTCAGGCGAGGCCACCCTGAAGAAGACAGACTCGTGTGACAGCGGCATCACCAAGAGCGACTTGCGCCTGGACAACGCGGGCGAGGCCAGGAGTCCCCAGGACCGGAGCCCCATCCTGGCAGAGGTCAAGCATTCTTTCTATCCCATCCCCGAGCAGACGCTGCAGGCCACTGTTCTGGAGGTGAAGCACGAGCTAAAGGAGGACATCAAGGCCTTGAACGCCAAAATGACCAATATCGAGAAACAGCTCTCGGAGATACTCAGGATATTAACTTCCAGAAGATCCTCTCAGTCGCCTCAGGAGCTGTTTGAAATATCGAGGCCTCAGTCCCCAGATTCAGAGAGAGACATTTTTGGGGCCAGCTGAGAGGTTTGTTTAAAAAGGTCAAAAAAGAAAAAAATATCCGCACCCCTGCCCTAGACAACACCCCACCACACATGACCAACAATTTTCAAAGTGGGACCAGTGGCTCAGGTGGGGTCATGCTCTTTTCAGGAAAAAAAAAGAAGCATCTCGTGCCCCACCCTGCAAGATGGCAGCCACATCTGAACAGTCTTTGCACAATTCTGGAAGCAGGGTGTGCTGTCTAAAGGGTATTTAAAATTTTTTACTACCGTGACATTTATAAAAGGTTACAATTACCAGAAAAGAAGAACCAGCCATTTAGGGATTGACGGGAGAGTACAGAGAACCCCTCATGTATATACCATGCAGAGCTCCTTCACTGACACCCCCAAAGACCAAGGTATGGGCAGGGACTTCCCAGCGTTCCCCAACCTTGTACAGCCTGTCTTACGTCACCATCTATTTTCCTGTTGTCATCATTTGGGACAAGGGGAGCTGGGAGTACAGAGCCTTTCAAACATCTCTGCTGAAGGCTGAACAGTAGGTACAGGTAGGGCCCTTTGGCCTCCAAGGACTCTATTGTCCGAGTCATAGCTTGCTCCCATGGGACCGTTGACAGTGAGGCTGCGGGTGGCCCTCTGGCCCTGCTCCATGCCGCAGGCCTCACTGCACAGACTACTCCTTCCTGACCTCTTCCTGAGTGTTCCCATGGCATTCCTCAGGGTATGGAGCATCGGCAGGATGGGGCGTGAGCCCAGAGTTGCTTTACTATTAGACACACACATATGACCTCAGTCAAATGATTGTAGCAAGTGCTATGTTTATATTTTGATTCTCATGGGGATTGTTCTTCAGAAGTTTGTATTTTGTACACTGCATGGGGTCATTAAAGGACACTTGGGAGCCATGCTTGGCCTTATTTGAAAGCAACCTCTTTCCTACTAAATGAAGACAGGACCATGATAAACAAGAACACAACAGCAGAGTTTTGAGTTGTTTCAGTAACCGGTCCATGGGGGAATATCTGATCAGAGAACTGTCTCTGGGCTGCCCCAGTCCCATGATGCTCAGGGACACTTGCTGCTTCATTAGCTGGGATCAGGTTACTCAAGGTTCAGGAAAAGAAAGAACTGCACACTCTCAAGCGAGGTGTTGGGACACTAACCCTCTAAACAAGCAAGGCAGAAGATCAGCCCTGTAGTCGGACCACAGCCACGACCCTGTCCCCGGTTTTGCTTTGCTGTCAAGATTCTGAATTCCAGTGCCCCTAGGGAACGTGATAGGTGGAGACCTGCCCGACCAAAGATTGTCAGCATTTCCAAAATGAGCCTGCCCATCCCTATAGCATTTCCCAGGACTTGGATCTCACCTGTCTGTGCAGAGCTTCCAGAGTCGACAGAGATAGCCCTGAGAGGTCAAAGGCATGTCCACATGTAGCTTTTGGCCTCAAATGGCCTCCAAGAAAGTGTCATTTGCCAAGTCACACCTGGTTGTGACCAGCTAAAGCTGGGTGAGCATTAGACTCTAACTTGAGCAGCTGCTAATGAATCCTTGGGGCATAGGATTATTCCAGATATTTTATACCCTATCTGCCCCCTAAATGTTCCAGTTTGCTATTCCTTCAACACGCTCACTGATCTGCTTCTAAAGCTTAGGACCTGCTACTTTAGGGCAGAACCCCTAATCACCCCAGCTTTAGAAACACCTGTCTAGGTTTTTCTTTGCTTCTCTGGTGACTTGATGACATGCCTCTATCAGCACCTCACAGCCAGTGGGGAGAGGCTCTGCCTATTAAGAAATATCTACCCCTGCTATACCACCAGCCCGAGAGCAAAGATGCTAATGAGGCTCTGAAGTCCAGACCTGCTTTGTTTGGGAAAGAGCTTCAGAAATACATTCTAGTATCAAAGTAAGATAATGACGGGAAGCCCAGACCCCCCAGGGGGACTCTGCTGCTCATCTCTGGACTACAGAGCCCACAATATAAGTTCCTGGAGGTGACAGAACACCAGGAGTATGGCTGCATCTGCATTTATTGTCCATTTAAGGATCTTAGAAAGTTTTTTTTTCCCCCATTAAAAAAACAGTTCTAAATGAGCCACTCCTTTTTTCCTTTTGATGACGTGTATTTGGCCACAGGCTGCTTTGTGCTACCTACCTAACTCTTGCCAGGATACAACTCCGAATTCCCAAGCAAGGACCACAAATCTCAGATACCACTGACCTGCATCTTCCAGCAGAAACCATCTGGTGGCTGAAAAGAATTAAGGAAACCAAAGGTTGCTAGGGATTAGATAAACATTTAGGCTTCAGGAAAATTAGATATTTTTACAACATTATTTTTCATTTTGGAGGGGACAGGCATCCAGTAAGTTGCACCGTTGTCCAGTAAGTGCTGGTTACCTGATCTCTGCATATTTTGAATGTCATTCATGGGGGAGGTCCTGCCCCTGTCACTTAGGGCTGCCTGTTGAACATACTCTTCTTCCCTGCTGATGGGGGTGTGGGATATAGGTTAACTCTTAAACAAGATGATGTGTTGGTTCTTGGTAGAGTGTGCCAATTCCAGCAACAATGTGCCCATCCCACAGCCCACAAAGAGTTCTTCTGCTGGATAGAAGCAGCCATTTGGTTGAAAAGCTCTAGTCTAGTGCACAATTAATGCAAATACTTGATTGCATTAATGCAGTGCTACATCTGCTAAAAAGGCTACAACATGGCCCAAGTGTTTTAAAACTGTGCTCATTGTTTTGGAAATACATTTATTGCTTTTGATCTCTTGGGCCCAATTCCTGAGTCCTGTTTTACACTTGACCTCCTGGATCTTCTGTGTTGTTAATAATACATCAGCTCTTTTCCTAGAATCTTCAAAAGTGGAAGTAGCTGGGCAAGGGGCAAAAATACACTTCACCATCTTACCCCATGTGTCAAGCTTTATCTTCCAAATCCTTAGGTGTAAAGTGAAAGTATTAAGCCAAGTTGGTGTGAGGATGCTGTCAGAACTCTTTAGGAATACTAATTGGAGAAGATTCTTATTTCCACTTGCTGCACCAACTACATCTCACACATACACTCTAGGACATTTTAGGAGCCCTGGTAGTGATAGAAGTTGCTGATATGCATTTGATTGACAGAATGTACTATGTTTTGCAATAAAGATGTTTAGCCTTAAGACCTTTGAATGAAACTCCAGTTGTGATGGAGCTGCCAATGCCCCTTCCTCTCCTCTCTCCTACTGTTGCTTAAAGAGGAAGTCCATTGAGGGTACACTCTAACCCCTGGATACCCTCTCCTGTAAGTCATTGTTACTGCTCCATATACTGCCTTCTCACTTGCTTCAATAAGAATTACCTTCACCAGCTCCTCCTCAACCTTGCACCAGGAGGAGAATTCACTGTCTGTTTAGTACCAACTGCAGCCATCAGAGAAAGCTTCGTTTTCTCACCAAAGGTGGTGAAAAGTTTTGATGTCTTCTCCTGCCCCCACACTTCAAGAGAATCAATGTGAATTTACCTGAAGCTTAAATCAGTTTCAAATGAAACTTCATTCTCATACAAGCATATCAGACTTATTCTGGAACCTCTAAAACTGTACTTGTATACCCTGGAGGTGCCCCCTCTGCCTGCCATTCAACTTTTATTAGACTCATTGTCTCTTTGTCGGTGATTTCTGAGTCATCCAGGGCATCCATTAGTTGTTCAATGACAAGTTCACAGATCTTGTATCAGGAGATGAACTCCTCGTATGTTAAGGATGCAACCCCTTACCCGAATGAATGTATTCTTAGTATTCAGACACTGTATTTATGTATCAGTTGGAGACTGTCCACATCCAACATTTCATTGCAAGGACATTTCTACTCATGAGCAGTTCATCATTCTGGGGCTTCTCCTTATATTAACGATCTTTCCATTGAGTCCTGCCAAATCCTTTTTTGGTATTTTTTTTCTCCTTTGCATCTGTCACTTTGTCCAAATGAGCATGAATAAGCAAGTGCAAATAAGCTGATACTATTTTTGTGGTCAGCTGAGGATGCTGCCAGGAACTCCACTGTATATCTGCAGCTTGGGAATGTTAAGAGGAACACACGGGCCCCTCCCTTGATGATATTCCCTTCAACATTTTTAAACAAGCACAAATGATATTTGTAAAAAAAAAAAAGTTTAATTTTATTTATTATGGTAATAAACTATTTTATACATGATGCTTGCTTTTGCCTTTCCTTATATAATAATAAGTCATTGAGTTGGGTGTTCTGACCTAAGATGACAGAGCAAGGATGGTGTTTTCTATTCCAAGACTTGGGAAGCTCTAACTTGAATGATACCTATAATTGTGGTTTTTTGGAGAACTTAAAATTCTAGAGACACCAAGGTTGTGTCAAAATGCTGCTTTGCCATATTGTCTTGAGGTAGAGCTGCATTCGCTTTATAAGTGTATAGAGATCACCTTTAAAATGTGTGTCTTAACCTCTGTTGCTATAAAAAGAACTTATAATGAAATTTATAAAGATAAGAAATTAATTAAGGCTCACAGTTCTGGAGGATGGAAGGTTCTGGAAGTCCATGACAGGGTGGTCACATCTGGTGAGGCCCTCATACTGCTTTATAACATGCTGGAAATTGGAAGGGCAAGTTGGTATGGGCCACCAAGACAAGACAAGGCAGGCTTGATTTATGACAAAAACTAACCCAGTTCCACAATAAAGGTATTAATCTCTCTTAACAATCTAATCGCCTCTTGAAGGTTCTGCCTCCTAACTATGCCACACTGGTGTCAAATTTTAAGCCACAGCAATTTGGAACCACTGAAATTTGCGTGACATGTTAATTTAACACGCTAAAAGTTGAACTCCCACTGAGATGTTACCTTCCAAAATGGATGAAGAGTTTATAACTCAATCTTTCTAAATGACTCAGTGTCAATAATACAAGTTCTGGACCTTGCTCTACTTCATTGATAGCTTCAAAAGCTATTAAGATAGCTTAAGATAGAAGAAGTCTTCTATTAAGATAGAAGAAGACTTCTTACTCAAAATTGGCCTACACACCAACACGATTTCAGTTCTGCTATAATTTTAATAGGTATCGTTTCTTGCTCATGGCAAGACTCCACAATATTGCCAATCTGAATTCTTATTTAATACCCAATGGGCTACATCTCAAAAATGGCACTTCTGTTTTAACAGACAATATAACTAAATTCAGAGATGAGGCATCTATGACATACAAGCTGAACTCAGGTCTCTGCTTCATCTCCTAATGCCACAATATGAATATAGTACTTTTAATGATTTTCCCCAGTCTCTATTAAATTACCCTGCAGAATATCATAATGAAAATAATTCAAGGGTGATATTAAAATTGCAAATGATTGACATTAATCTCAAAAATGTCACCTAATAGATGCACTGAACATCACAATTTTTTAGTTGACTTAATGGTGACAAAATACTATCTTTGTGAATGACTTTTGTAATTAGTCAAAAGGACTAGTAATATAGAACACAGATATTACATTTTGGGTGCCAAATGGGATTGAACTATTTTTAAATGAAGACTTTTTTGTTTCCAAATAAAACATTTCTCTGAAGAAAGGCCTCAGAGAGGCCTGGACTGAGAGTACTACACGGTGAAGCCCGGCACTGTTGATAATCTGGCTTCTCATGTTGGCCACACTGAAGCAAACCCTACAGTATGGATCTGTACTGGTGTATCTGTTTTAGTCAGCTTTTTCACTTCTGTGACTAAAGAACCTGACAAAAACAATTAGAGAAGGAAAAGTTGATCTGGGGCTCATAGTTTGAGGTCCCAGTCCACAACTGGCTCCATTACTTGGGGCTCAAGGCGAGACAGAACATCATAGCAGAAGAGTGTGGCAGAAGAAAGCAGCTAAACTCAGCTCACAAAATACAAACTCCAAAGGCAAACCCCCGCGGACCCACTTCCTCAAGCCACACCCTACCTGCTTCCAATTACCACCCGGTTAATCCCTAGGAGGAGATTAATACACTGATTGGGTTAATACTCAAAACCCAATCATTTCACCTCTAAACCTTCTTACATTGTCTAACACATGAGATTTTGGGGGACACCTAATATCTAAACCATAAGAGTCAGCTAAATGCAAAAGCATTATATTATAGTTCACTTCTGATATTTAGTCAAGTAAAGTAAGTCTCAAATTCTCTAAGAGGATCCCCCCTCTCCACACTCACTAAATTGCTATTCTCCTAGTACATAGACCATCATAGGTCTGATACATTTTTCTCTCTAGGCCTGTGGTCTTTAACAGAACAAAACATTTTGTGCTGTCATTTCCAACAAATTAATCTGAAAACAACAAATTAATCCATGAAAAAAGAAGTATTGTCATTTCCACATTACAGTTGGGGATCAGGAAAAGGTTAAAGAAAACAGTAGTACTACATAACACATACCCTGTTTAACTAGGCTTCAAATAGAGTTAAACACAGTAATCTTACTAATTACCAAGAACCATTCTGAATCACAGCATAAATACTTTCTCTTTTGTGGTTCTAAGAATTGATCAGAGTGATAGAGGTTTCACTGACCTTCAGGTGTCGTACTTCTTTCCTTGGGTGTCATCTTGGCAGTAAAGTGCAGAGCCAGGTCTTGCCCATAGAGCCAGGTTGAGGTTAGAAGATCCTGGGGCTGGAAGTGACCCTGGGACCTTGTCCATTCTCTTCCCCACACCCTGTCTGAAGTTACCCAGGACTAGTGACACATCTGATGCTCCTCAGCTGAACAGCTCTGCATGCCCAGCCACCTCAAGGGTCTTTTGTTTAAAGCAACTCCAGGATTTTAATTCATATCCATAAAAAAGAAGTATTGTCATTTCCGAATTACAGTTGGGGATCAGGAAAAGGTTAAAGAAAACAGTAGTACTACATAACACATACATTGGTTAACCAGGCTTCAAATAGAGTTAAACACAATAAGCTTACTAAATACCAAGAACCATTCTGAATCACAGCATAAAAGTAATTCAGGATTATTACTTTCAAACACATCTACTGCCTTGTCCAGGACAGTTTAGTGATTGACTAAATGTGTTTTTATATAAATGGTCTTTTTTGGAAGACCTCAAATCTTTTGTTTTACATACCTACATATATTAGACACTTCCCAACAATCATTTTTGTACTTTTTCTTAGCAAGCCCTTTCCTTCCAAGTAAACTTCAGCCACACTCCTTCCAGGTGAACCACAAATCCTGACTCAGTGTTCCTCCAAGTTCTACTGCATTCCCTCAGGCTCATTCCCTCAATTAAAACTTCTCAGCACCCAGGAATCTCCTGCCATGTGTCTTCTCCTTTACCCAGCCAGCTGTGGAGTCTACTGCTGCCAGGTCTGCCAGCTGCTCTGTTCTGTCCTGTTTCAAGTAATACATTGTGCCCACGCCAGTTCATCAATGTCTGGTTCCCTCCCATCTCTCTTCCAATCAGAGCAGCTAGGAAGAAAGGGAGTCAACAAGATGACTGGTCCTGCACCTAGGAGTTTAAGTGTCATCAAGTTGATAACCACAGCCAAGACCCAAGGCAATACCATACAACAAATGAGAGACAGTAGCTAGGTTCAAGTGAACCTTCACCTGTCACTCAATGACAATTCGTGTACTTGGGATGTTACTAATTCTCCCAAAATTAGATACACCATGGATTCAAATTGTAAACCTTCAATGTCTGTTCCACAAATAAATCCAAAAATCAAACAAATTTTCTAAGCTATCTACCACTTGGATATTGGTAGCCTGTCCAGCATTTTTTCTGGAGTTATGTAACTGCTAAGATTTTAAACGTTTTCCTTAAAAATACTCTAATTCTAGAAAAATCTGAATTTTCTCTGTAACACAAAGACTCCATTTTATTTGAATCAAAATGAGGCAACATACACCAGTGAACATGAACTACTGAGTAGGATAGTGACTGGGGACCTAAGTGGAGATGGAGATCATGGGACGCCATCCTCACCTTTTGTGACTTGCCCAGTGTCACCCGGCTGTGGACACACTGATTCCCTGGTTTTCATATTTCTGTTTCTTTATTGGAAAACGTCAGAGGAATTACCATGTTTATATATCCCTGCAAACCTCAAAGGTAGATTACCCTAATGAAATTCAAGTCATGGGGCTCCTTGGGTATAGACTCCTTAGAATGCCACAGGACTGCCTTCATCTTTACATTGGTCATCAGAACCAGCTGTGTCTTTGTCACCTCCTTGCTGAGGAGCTGATGTGTGGAAGTCCAACTCTACTTCTGTTTCTAGAGCCAACAATGTAGATCATGGGAAAGAAGTCACCAAAATGGTGGTAAAATGTTTCAGAAATACTACGCAGTGGAGGAAAAGCCTATCACTAACCAGGATTTCTGTGCTCCATCAAGAAATATCCATTCCAGGTAATTCTTGGTAAAGGAGAAATGGGGCTGGGTTGCCCTGTATAGCTAGGCAAGATGATCTGCTGCCCTGCACTTCAGCTTACCCAACAGGAAACTGACAGTGTTTGGGTAGAAAATCTCTTAAACCCAGAAGTCAGAAGATAGTCTGGTTGTAAAATTTCTATGAGAGCTTAAGCTGCCAGTCTTGAAGTGAGGTATCTTCAACAGAAGATGAGCAGGAGATAATCCCTTGGAGATTATCTTGGAGTAGGAGGTCATGGTGAAGTACCATTTGCTTTGGATATTGGCCTGGGCCTGGTGGCACTAGTCCATGGTATATGTCTGTTCCCAGGCAATGCCCACATGGGAATAGCAATACAGGAATCCCAGGACAGAGAGGGTCACCCACGGCCAGCCTGTAGGGGGAGAACAGAGATGGAAGAATGGTCAGAAGTTTGGGGGCAAACTTTCCCACATGGGCAAACTGTCCCCTGGGGAGAAGGCAACATGAGAAACAGCACAGGCATTGTTTTACACCAGCTCTTGAGCTCCTGAAAGTGCTCTTGTTGGAACCCTAGTAAGCAGAGTCCCACAGTCCAATGGGCTCAGTATAAAAAGATGGGTGTCCTGTGACAAATGCAAACACTTAGAATAGGGCAGGCTTTTAAAGAATATATACTTAGAAGACTAAAGCTTTAGATAATCAACCCCCCCAAAAAAATGTTCCTGAGGCCCACAGTAAATCTCAAAATATAGATTGGCCATTATATTGAATTGAGTGACATTTGTATGTACACAGAAATCGAACTCTAGATTAAACATTTGATTTCAAGACTCAAAGCTTTTAGTGATTCCTTCTACAAATATTTGTCTTAGAATATCTTTTCTTTATCTTTTTAAATTAATGTTTCTGCTGAGCATTTGTTTTTAATGATCTTCATGTCTTCTACATGTTTCACATGTTCAAAGTTTGGTTGGGGATTTTGGAGAACATGAGGGACCAAAATCAAAAGACTCCATCTTGTGTTAAAGGCACTCTCATTCCATCTTGGGAAAGACAAACACACACAGTAGGATTTGGGATTCAGTTTCCAGAGCACATTTAAACTGAGTCAGTTGGGATGAACAATAGTTTTCTGGGGTGGAAAGGGACAAACTACCAGAGAAACCACCCAAAATGTGACCATCAGGCCATCCTAGGAAAGGGCAGGTAGACAGGCAGGGATAGAAATATGAGAGAAAATGTAGTACACATACACAATGGAATATTACTCAACCTTAAAGAAGAACGAAACTATAGCATTTGCTAGGAAATAGATGGAACTGGAGACTATCATCCTAAGTGAAATAAGCCAATGTCAAAGAACCAAAGGCCGCATATTCTCCGATATGTAGATGCTAACATGCAATAAGGGGAGTGGGGAGGCAACACTAGAAGTTCACTGAATTAGACAAAGGGGATTGAAGGAAAAGGAGAGGGGATGGAAATAGAAAGAATGAACTGGATATACATTTCCTATGTTTATGTATGAATCCATAAGCAGTGTAACTCCACATCATGTACAACCACAAGAATGGGAAGTTATACTCCATGTATAACTAATATGTCATAATACATTCTACTGTCATGTAAAACTAAAAGGAACATAAATTTTTTTTTTAAAAAAGAGGGACCCATTCTGCCTGGGGGTCCTTAGATGTCTCTGTGGCTCAGAGAAATCAGGGGACTTGTCAGCACGAGTTCAGGGGAGAGGGCTTTGGACACAGGAAGCACTCTTGGACTTCAGCTGTGTTTGGAGTGAGACATCAATGGGTATTTGGTAAACAGAGAGCCCAGAGGCCAGCTGCAGAGGTGGGCAAATAGGGGCGTTTCCTGCACAAAGCTGGGCCTAGGGCATTGCCCAGCTGTGCTTGACCACTATGTTTATCAGGAGATGACCCTACATGTAGGACTAGGAGGAACAACGGTCCCAATGAGGTGAGGTGCAATCACATTTAGTGTGTGCCCTATGTAGGCCCTGAAAGATCTCCCTACTCTTACTGTATAGGCCATCCAGTTAAAAGACTCAAAACCCTACTATACTATGCAACCCCAGTCGATACCAACTTTCCCAGGAATAAGAAAATTGATGGAAAAAAAAAAAGTGCTCTAGTCACCTTTCCACACCAACCAACCAACCCTTCATGTCTGGCCCTGTCCTAGACCCTAACATCACCCTCTTTTTGGTTGCCTATAGGCACAAGGTTTGACTGAGGTAGCTGTTACCCAAGTACTAATGTGGCCCAGGCAGGTGGAAGTGGCCTTTGGGCAGAGCCTCCTCCCTCAGGGCTCAGATGAGGACAGGATACCAAAACTGAACAGCAAATGGGATGGGCCGTTGTTCTGGCAACTTTCCCAGAGCCTCTATGATGAGCAGTCACACAGCCTTGTCAGTCATCACAAAATGATGGTGTCAAAAAGGGTTCTGTTGTGACCAAGGAACACTGACCTCTCCCCGGCCTTCCTTGCTCAGACGTCCATGATCTTGCTCCTCACCCAACTGCCTACTTTCCAACCCTCATTCCCCCCACTGAGCAGCCCCTCAACATACCCCACGCACATGTGCATGCTCTCCCCCCGACCACTAAGATGACTCATGCAGCCTGATGAACAGTACAGCACTGGTCAAAGGAAAAGAGCCTTCTTAAAAGGGTGCTTTAGAACGGAGACCCTCTACATTCTCTGCACATTCAAGGTTGAGTCCCTAGAATCAATGATACGTTTAACTTCCTACTGGGTTTTTGATACCTGGACAAAACAAGATCTAAGTGAGTGATGAGTTTTAACAGATCATACCTAGGCAGCATTGAAGGTATTATGAACAGGTTGCTAGCAAGTCAGACCACAGTTGCAAAAGATTGGGTAACATAGTTAAAATGGATTACTTAACAAACATAGCTAAACACATAAGTATGATGTATGGCACAATAGTCTCTCTCAAAAAGGCTAATGTAGGTAGAAAGAGTTAACAGGATGTAGCTAGTTGTATAATGATACAGTGAATAGGATAACAAGGAATTTTTCAATAACTACAGTTAATGAGCACCAGGTAGGACACAGAGGGAAATAACTAGAGCTAAGAGAAATTAAGCAGTATCATTTTACTTGAAGTTATCATGACTGAGCAATTTTCTGAGCAATTAAATCCGTCTGAAAGACCTGGAAAGGCAGAAACTCAAGATACTGAAGAAAAAGATCATCATCACACAGAAGTACAAGAAGTCCAAGGGTGTGTCTTATGTAAAATGAGGAAATAATCAGAACAAGAAGTCTGATGAGCCAGGCACAGTGGCGAATGCCTGTAATCCCAGAGGCTAAGACAGGAGGATCGAAAGATCAAAGCCAGCCTCAACAATGGCAAGGTGCTAAGCAGCTAGCTCAGTGAAACCCTGTCTCTAAATAAAATGTAAAATGGGGCTGGAGATGTGGCTCAGTGGCTGCATGCCCCCGAGTTCAATTCCCAGTATCCTCCCTGACCAAAAAAAAAAAAAAAAAAAGAAAAGAAATCTGATGAAAAACTTTGTTTAAAACACAATGTTGTCAATGAAACCCACCATTCTGTATAATTATTATGGACCAATAAAATGTTTTGAAAAACCCAGAATAACAAAACACACCAAAAGCAATGTTGTAAGATGGTGCAGCCACATTATGGATATTCCTTAGAAAAATTCAACATAGAATTATGAAACACACACCCCAAAGCATTGGCAAAGGAACTAGGAGAGACAGTCGTACACCAATGCTCACAGCACAATTATTCACAATTTCCAAAAGGTAGAAGCAACCCAAGTGTCTATCAATAGATGAGAGGATACACAGAATGTGGTATATATGTACAATGAGATATTTTCAGCCTTTAAAAAAGGAAGTAAATGCTGACCCAGGTTACAACATGAGCGAACCTTGAAGATATCACAGTAAGTCAGACCCAAAAGAAAGAAATCCATAATTCCACTTGCGTGACCTTCCTAGAGTAGTCAAATTCACAAGGAATTTCCAGCCACGATCTAGAAGGTAGAGAGGAATGGGAAGCCAGTGTTTAAAGGTTACAAAGGTTTAGTTTTGGAAAGTGAGAAAAGTTCCAGGTATGGTAGATGGTGATGGCTATAAAACAGTGAGAATGTACTTCAGGCCCCTGAACGGTACCTAAAATTGGTTAAAATCCTATTTTTTATGTTATGTACAATACACAACAAAAATTATGCTAAAAGAAGCCCTTAACAAAATAATCCATTTACATAAAATGCAAACTCATTTATAACCACACAAAAAAAAAAAACATCAAAGGTTACACAGAGCTGGGTCAGAGGGAGAGGGACTGCAAAGGGGCACTAGGAACCTTCTGTGATGAGAAATATTTTGTATCCTGATTGCAGGAATGGTATTTACAAGTGGCAGATTCATTCTGTTGCATGCCTCCAATGGATGCCTCTTACTGTGCATTATTTAATTTTTCATAAAGCTGACATTAAAAAAAGGTGGCACTGGGACCATGTTAGCTTGTTGCCATTGCAACAAATACCTGAGAAAAACTTACAGGAGTAAAGATTTATCTTGGCTCCCATTTTCAGAGGTTTCAGTTCAATGTCAGCTGACTTCATTGATTTTAGGCTTCTATGCAGTGAGGCAGAAACATGGCAAAGGGCATAGCAGAGAAAAGCTGTTCACCTTATGGCAGCCAGGAGGCAGAGACACACACTAGGGGCAAAAAAATATCCTTGCAGGGCATGCCCCCAATGACCTACTTCCTCCAACTAGGTCCCACCTCCCCCAGAGCCTATTCACCTATCAATGGATTAATCCACTAATGAGATCAGAACCCTCATGATGCAACCATTTCCCCAAAGTCCCTCCTCTGAACACTGCTGCACTGGGAACCAAGCCCTCAACACATGAGCCTTTGAATGATATTCCAGATCTAAACCATAAAAGGAACGTTAGCAAATCACAGACTTGCAGCATTGGGGTACAATGTCCTGGGCTGTGTATGTCCCCAAAACATTCAAACAGAAGTTATAAGGGAACACAGTTTTTTAAGTGATGATGTTTTTTCACTCCAACTCCCTCCAGGCAGGGGGACTGAGTTATAGGACCAAATATTGGGCTGCTCTAATTGTGCATTCTTCCACTGGGGCCTTGAAAGAGAAATAGGAGAACCAAAGGACTCTTTCTTCTTTTAAAATATTTATTTATTTTTAGTTGTAGTTGGACACAACTACAACTTTGTTTTATATATTCATTTTTATGTAGTGCTGAGGATTGAATCCAAGGCCTTGCACATGTTAGGTGAGTGCTCTACCACTAAGCCACACCCCAGCCCTGAGGACTCTTTCTTCACTATGCAAATCAGTTCAGCAGGAGGAAAGCTGTAAC